TTTAAAATGTGAACATAATCAGTCAAAGCAAGTCAGAGATATGGTACTATAGAACCACATTCATTATAATCTTATCTGAAAAACAAAATGATGTGCATCGAGGTCCTATAATGTCCAATGTATATACCTAGTTTGAACAAAATCCATCTGCAAACAGCCGAGAAATGCTTAATTGACTCCCATGTGCGAAGCACATAATGGGAGTATATGCAGTTAGTGTGTCTGTATGTATGTATGTGTGTCTGTGTGTATGTGTGTCTGACTGTTCCACTGCTATCTCAAGAACCATACATCGGTTTTTGATAAAACTTGGCGCATAGATGCTCTCGGCCAATGCGCAGATTTGATTAGGTTTTGGTAAAAATCCATGCTCATTAAATACTTAGTTCGCATGATAATTAGCTAATTTTTAGCTGACTGTTCCACTGATATCTAAAGAACCACTCATTGGATTTTGATGAAACTTGGTACATAGATGCTCTGAACTAATGCAGGTTTTGATAAGTTTTTGGTGAAAATCCGTGCATGCTAATTTCCTAATTTGCATAATAGTCAATTTTCGTTTTTTCCACTGACATCTCAAGTACTAATCATCACATTTCAATGAAACTTGGTACATAGATGTCATAGGACACTGCACAGACCTGATTAGTTTTAGGGTAAATAATTGTGCATATCAATTACCTAATTTGCATAATTAATTTTTAGCTTTTCTACTGATATCTAAAGTACTAATCACCACATTTCAATGAATCTAGAACTATGCAGAAACCCAATTAGTTTTTGGTAAATATTTATGCATATTAATCATCTAATTTTCATAATTAACCAATTTCCAACTTTCACCCTGATATCTCAAGCACTAATCATCACATTTCAATGAATTTTTGTACATGGATGCTGTACCTACGTAGGACAATAGACAGACCTGGATAATTGTGGGTTAAACTCTGTACATATTAATTACCTAATTTGCATAATTAACCATTTTTATGCTTTCACACTGATATCTAAAGTACTAATTATTCCATTACAAAGATGCTCTAGGACAATGTACAAACCTAATTAGTTTGGGGTAAACGTATGTTCATATTAGTTCCCTAATTAGCATAGTAATTCATATTTTTTTGGTTCTAATCACATTTCAATAAAACTTAGTACATAGATTTTCTATTACATTGCGCAGACCTCATTAGTTTTACACTCATATCTGTTCATGATAATTTTCTGATTTGCATAATGAGTTTTCAGCTTTTCCATCAATATCTCAAGTACAAGTAATTTCGAATTATATTTAATGTATCTCCAATACTCTCAGCAAATGGGAGTTCTTTCTAAGCTTTCTTTGATTTTGATGATTTTTCAGTACAAAAATGGCCGCCATTCGGCCATCTTGCATCAGATCGTGAAACAAATTGATGTGCATATGTATAATACCATGTATGATGTATGTGTGAAGTTCAAATGTGATTGGTCCAGGAATTTCTAAGACGCAGGTCTGGACGCACACATGCACGGACGCACAAAGGTCAAAACATATAAGTCCCCGTTTTTCAACTGCGTCTGAACAGGGACTAAAAAAATAGCAATATTAGACTATGCTACTAGTATTTTGATTGTGAAATTAGTCCTTTCACACATACTTTGATAATAATTTTTGACATTGTTAGTCAGTGTTTTTTTTTTTTTACATTGAATTTGAAACAAATAGTTAGTCTAAGAGCATATAATTGTCTTATCTCTTGATTGCATTATATAGTCAAATTGTTTTCTTTTGTTTTTGTTTCTGAAGTCTTGGTTGCTTAACTCTATGGTATAGTACAAAGTGTTTCTATTTTGTGTATAAATTGCAATCAATTAGGTGGTATATTTCATCTTCTATTTGGTTACAATGTGTGCATAGTCTCTCGTCCATTGGTGTCTTGTATAGCGACCTGTTTCTATTGCTAGTCTATGATTACTTG